CTTATATTTTTATTAATTTTTACTAATATTTTTATTAATTTTTACTTATATTTTATATGTTTTTTAATTACAATTTATATGTAAACATAATTTATATTTATTTGAACAATAATAATATTGGTAAAAACATTAGTATTGTTTATATAATTTTTATTAATAAATATATTACACTGATTGAGAAATAACTAAACAAATTAAAGAAACTTTAGTTGCATTGATATCAGAGAGTATTCGATTTTGTTAACTGGCTAATAATATTCTTAAAAATATTTGTAAAATAGCTATCGAGTATGCGCTAGGTTTGTCAATTCTTATTAATTTTGCGTATTAATATTCATTTTAAACTCTCTCAATCATTAATTCAAAGCTATAAAGAATTCAAGACAGAAGTACTTAATTACACTAAAACCTTTCCCTAAATTTTCAGAAAATCATGACTTCATGAATCATATATACCCTTTTATATTCTTGATTTTTAGGTCGAACTGCTTCTAAGAGTTCACCACGTAAATTTAGTTAGCCTCATTGGATACTGTGATGAAGGGAATGACTTAGCTCTCATCTACGAGTTCATGGAAAATGGGAACTTAAAGGAACATCTCTGGGTAAACTGTTTGGATTATTTTGAAAACAAACTGAGCTAGCTCTTCTAAATCAAAGGGGTATATAACTATATGGTGAGTTTTGGCAGTAGAACGTGATGGTTCTGTTTTAAACTGGTCGAGTAGACTTAAAATAGCTATTGAGTCTGCGCTAGGTTTGTCAATTCTTGTTAATTTTGCATATTAATATTCATTTAAACTATATTTTACATGGGAAGTAGCTAACATATGGGTTTCCCCTTTGTACTAGGAATTGAATATTTGCATATTGGATGTAAGCCGCCAATGGTTCATAGAGATGTGAAAAGTACAAATATATTGTTAGGACAACATTGTGAAGCCAAGCTCGCTGATTTTGGACTTTCGAGATCTTTCCTTGTGGGAAGTAAAACTCATGTATCAACAACAAATGTTATAGGAACTTTTGGATATTTTGATCCCGAGTAAGTTCTATTAAAACAACAACATGACCTATTAATAAAGGTTTTGTTCAACAATTTATTTCCTTTATTTAAAGAGCTACTATTATTCTCTTTATATAAGTGGACATACATATTAATTTTAAGCAAATAATATAACCGTAACCTACTAACCCTATATATTTTTATTTGTAAACTAACCCACTAACCCTACATTAAAGGATAGATAATAGATATATGACAGCATGAAATTATAATAGGTTGACTTCTATCATTAATTCACGTGCTATATCCATATCAACATTGTTAAAAACAAACTATATCAGACATTATGAACACTTGGAAGATTTCGTATTATGTTTTTTTCTACAGAGGGTTTAAATTTTCATAGATTATTATTAGAACTGCAATATTATAATATAAGGTCTACCTCCTATTACCTATTAAGTATATCGTCTTCAAATTTTTATATACAGACTACTATTCTTTTTGTGAGAATTTTGAAAATGAGATCTAAATAACAAAAAGTCATTTGAACAGGTTTTGATTAACATCTATTATATTAAAAGAGAAGTCACAACTTCTCTTCATGTGTGATTTTTTAAAAATGGACCCTTCCTTAGAAAAGTTGTTAGCTTATCTTTTGTATTTGTATAATAAAATCTTAACAACCATATTTACTTCTCATTTTCATTCTCTCAATACATAAGAACATCTTAAATTAAATTAGCAATACATTTATATAAACATTTAAATATTAAAAAATATATATCACTAATGTCTTAAAATAAATAACATATGTATATAAAAGTGAAAACAACACCCGCGCGGTTGCGCGGGTAAAGATCTAGTTTTAAGTTTTAAAATTACAATCTGAAATATTCAATACAACAAATAAATAAATCTGGATATATAAACAAACATATTAACAAATTATTTTACTATATTAAACTAATATATAAGGAAATCAAGTACGTATGCCTATTACATCAAATATTAATCCTAAGATTTTTTTTGGTTTCAATATATTTGTTTCATTTACATTACTCCGAATCAGTGCCGGCCTGAATATTTATAGACTTGAAATAATTAAAAAAATAAGACCTATTACTGTAGATAGAAAATGAAACCATTACCTATATTTCTAATTTGACTTTCATTCACCACTAGACTTCTTAATATTTTATCAAAAATTTTAGTTAATATTTTATTTAAACAAAAAAAAGTCGGAAGCCTATGCTTCCTTAGCTTTCCTCTCAAGGCCGTCTCTGCTCCGAATAATATCTAATCAGTATATTTAGTATTTTAATCAATATATTCTAAACATAAAACATAAGATAATCTAAGTATATTAGAAATAATAATTTTAAAATGAGGAATATTTCTATACATAGAAGATTTCTAAAATATATACTTTCTGTGTATAATAAAAATCATATACACATCAAAAGATGAGATTTTGTTATAAATTAAATCAACCAATGCATAGAAACATTCATAACTTTTTGTTTAACCAAAATTTATTTTTGTACAACGCACAATTCAAAAACTTAATAACTAAGCTCCCAATTTGTTACTAACTATCAACCTTTGATAAATCAGAATTCATATAAATGTCAGTTTCAGTATACTAATTTAATACCTAACAAAAAATATTTATAAATATATTTTCAATAAAAATTATTCTATTTCAGTTTTGGCCGAAGTTTTTATTAGTAAGAAGAGAAAATAAAAAAGAACTATCTTATTTAAATTTTATAACTTTAAGCATTAAACTAAAATTAAGCGAGATGACTTAAATAAATGTATTGTCCTACCTGATACAAATATAGTAATACCAATTGTTTGATCCTTCGTAAAGATTTCATATTTATTTAAAAGAACATAGGTTATTTAGTAAAAAATATATATCATATAAAAATTACAATAACTGTACAAGTGAAAATTAACAGATCAAAAACAAAACGTTATGAATATTGAAAATTATACTTAATATGACTAAACTTTGATTATATTTGATAACATAAAATATATTTTCGCCTTCTATTTATAGATATAAAATAAAAAAATAAACTATTAAAATGAGAAATGAAACTGAAAAAGAAAATTCTATAAATATTTAAATTAAAATAATATTATATTTTATGCGGGTCAAAACTCTCGCCTAAAATCTTAATCCATCTAATACCCAAAAGAAAATAGTTCATGTAAACATTAATTACATATAAGATTAAAAATTTAGACAAATAAAAAAGGTTATCGTAAAAAAAAATAATTATGTACTTGTAAAGGTAACATGGTTTTTATATACATTGGATCAAAATTCATAAAACCCAATTTATTTTGCTAAATAGGATTAGAAAAACACACAAATATGATACAAACATAATCATAAATATAAAAATTAAATTATCTATACAAAAAGTCATAAATATGATTACGAAGAAGAATACTAATATAAAAATTAAATTTCTAAAAATGTAAAAAAAAAAGTAAAGACAGATCAAAATCTGGTTGTAAGTTAAAAGATAATTTTATATTTTGCGTGTTATCTTACATCTTTGAGTATATTTTGCCGATACTATCAAAAGCATTGGTTAACGGAGAAGAGTGATGCTTACAGCTTTGGGATTGTGTTACTAGAGATTATCACTGGCCAACCGGTGATTGACGAATCACGTGAAAATTCTTACATAGTAGAATGGGCCAAGTCTATGCTGGCAAATGGTGATATTGAAAGTATATATTATGGATCCGAAACTCCACCGAGAATATGACTCAAGTTCATCTTGGAAAGCTCTTGAATTAGCAATGGCATGCATAACCCTTCTTCCACAGAGAGACCAACTATGAGACGGGTTGCTCATGAACTAAATGAGTGTTTGGAAATATATGAGAACCTAAGTAAAAGAAGGAGCCAAGATGCAAATTCATCCAAGTCCGCGGGACATAGCATAAGCTCCGTCAGTGACACTCCTTCAGCTCGTTAATCTTTTCATCTATATGTTTTGTTCTTTGAAAGATACTCTCCACAGGTTGCATTTACGTTTGTAATGTGAATATGTTAAAAGCTTCATCTTATGCTATCGAATCCACTGTTTGAATCTTTAAATGGTGTTCGCTTGGCTGTTTCTTCAAGGGAACTTTGTAGTTGTTTCAAAAAATATTAAAAATATTTAATTTTATATATTTTTAAAATAAAAAATATTATTACTTATATAGCTAACTATATTTCAACTAATAAAAAAATAGAAAGCATTAAAAATTAATAAATTTTCATTGAAACTATAAAATAACACTTATTTTGAAGCGAAAATTTTTCTTTACACGACAAGTAAATTGAAACAGAGGAAGTAATAGTTTTATGATTGCACGCTTACTGAGATAAATCACTATTATCACATAACTTATTTTTGATATTGGTAAAAGTGAACAATCTTAAGCAATATTTTGGAGAACTCATCTCACTGCAAAATAAGCACAAGGCATTTGCTTTCTTTGATGTTGCAGAATAAACTCAACATTTCTAGTGAAGGGAAGATGAAACTATCACATCATTTGAAACATTTTTCAAGTTTATATATTCTATAAAGATAATATTACTAAAAGTCACACACACAATACATTACACCAGGACACACAAAGGCCAACGAAACTACAATCATGCTTAAAGGTCATGAAAAAAAAAAGTTTTGAGACGCATATTATCATCAGAGTCCAGTTCAAAGTCCGCAATCCTGTAGTCATCGTAATACTCATCCTCTGATAAACCAGCATCAGAGACGCCGTAAGGATAGTCTTCATCTTCTGCTAAATTCACGTCCCTTGCATGCTTCACAAATTTGATCTTATTGGAATACCGCTCCACCAAATCCCAAGCACCGACGTTGATACAATCGCATATATCAACATGTTCCAGGTTAGGACAACTCTCAAGAATGGCGTTTAAAGCGGTTTTTGTTAATCTGTTCCCGGAAAGCTAGAGGTGGCGAAGTCCGGGCAATGTTTCAGCGATTGCTAGAGCGACTTCATCACACTCGTTTATTCCTGGAGGAGGCCTGTAATCCACACAGTTTGTTTTAAATGTCTTGAGATTGGGACAAGACCGGCCTACAACTTTCAAACAGTCTCCTGATAATGAGCAGTATCCTACAACTGGCCAGTATGAAATCTCGAGGTCTTCAAGCAATGGAAGTTTCACGACTGCTTCGGCAAGTCCCTTGTCAATTTCTTGAAGGCACATTACAACTTTAAGGATTCTCAGATTTCTTGAACTGAAAATAGTTTGGTGTAAGTGTTTAGAAACATAATTCAAAAAAAAAGAATAAGATGCAAAACATTTTAATCTTTTTTTTTGGCAAATATATTGATCTCAACCAACCCTCCCTGACTATGATCAACTGCAAGACGGCATATTTTCTCGTAATACGTATTTCCTAGGGCACACATCTCAATTTTACGCCACAACGAGGGGTCTTTACAGACGCTGCACCACGAGCTGCACTGCACACCTTTTCTGCTTTTTCCACCATCTCAATCGTGCTAAGACGCTGTAGAATTAACGACGTCAGTTCAGGAGGAAGATCCGCCCAGTTTCTATGTACTTCTGCTTCCGGAGGCAAAGACGACGACAACAACGAAGAAGAAGCCATTCTATGAATGATGAACAACAACAAGAGTGTAGCAGTTTCAATATATATCCTCGTCTGTATCTAAAGTTTTACAATATGGTTCTCATGATTTTACATATTCACGAAACAAAATGGGCTAAACACATGCCCTAGGTGAACCACCAACTAGGGGTGGGAAGGATCGGATATCCGGGGTATTTCAGGATATCCGGATCCGGATTCGGTCGATCCGTAAAATTACTATCCGGATCCGGATTCGGGCCATCCGGATATCCGGTCCGGACCCCGGTTTATTTAAAAAAAAAATTCAAAATTCAGTATTTATTTATTTTATTAAAAATTAGTATTTTCAAAAAAATTAAATTAAAATAAAAGAATTTATTAACAAAATTAAATATTAGGTATATTTAATAGAAAATATATAATATACCTTTATAAATATAATTATAGTTTAAATACCTTTTAAATATTTAGTGGGCCCGGATCCGGACTGAAATTTTCAATATCCGGATTCGGATCCGGATTCGCCAGATCCGTGAAATCACTATCCGGATCCGGATCCCCCGGATATCCATTTTTTCGGAGCGGATCGGATAGGATCTCGGATCGGATAGCGGATCTCGGATATAAGTCCCAGCCCTACCACCAACCATGATGTTATTTAATATTTTATATATTTTTAAAAAGAAAATAAAATCATGTTAAGTTATAGGGAAAATTGCCAAATATGATTCAAAACTTGATTTGAAATGCAAAAGTAAACCCAAACTTGAATCAAATGCAAAAGTAACTTAAAAGGCTGTTGAAATTACAACCAACCCCTTGTGAACAAACAAAAAAAAAAGTCTTTTTTTTTATGTTTCTAGCCCTCGCAAGTCGTCTGCCCATACGACTTTAAACTAAGTCGTCTATGACAGTTTTTCTTAAAAATAATTTAAAAATTGTGTAATAAATATCTTGATAAATGAAAAATTGGGATTATGTAGTTAACATATGTCTTAAGAGATATAAATTAAGATATAAAAAAGTCAGTTGTTTTCAGCATAGATGAGTGAAAGTAGTGAGTGATGATATTCTTTAGTTTAGGTTTCACCAACATATGTTGTAGTATTGTATGTGTTTCTTAGGGTTAGAAATTCGAAAGCATAAATGTTTTTTTGAAAAATTTAAAATTTACCTAAGTGTGTTTATTTCTGTGTATAGNAACATATGTTGTAGTATTGTATGTGTTTCTTAGGGTTAGAAATTCGAAAGCATAAATGTTTTTTTGAAAAATTTAAAATTTACCTAAGTGTGTTTATTTCTGTGTATAGTAAACACTATTTAAGTATAATTTGATTTTATAACATGGTTAGTAGTTAATTTAGTCAATTTAGTTTAGGGTTTAGGGTCTGGACGACTTAATTTAATAAGGCAGACGACTTAGTCGGACGTATAGTATCAACAGACGACTTAATTATAAGTCGTCCAAACCGGATTTTACCAAATTACTTTTAAACCTAACCGTATTTTTTACCGGACATATATAAGATGTTTTTTTTGACTCACTTTTTCGCGAAACTCAGAAAACCCTAACGTCGTTTCTCTCAAAGGTGATTTCGAGGCGATTTCGATCCGATATAAAACCAAGGTAAATCGAAGGCTTCTCTAGCAGATTTATGGGTTTTTATTAGGATGGATGTTGTTTTCCTTTACTTTTACCGTTTGGTTTTGTGTTTTCAACGATTTGGGGAAATTTTGGTTTCAAATTGGGTTTCAAAAATTGGGGATTTCAATCGACTTGTTGTTTAGTTAGGTTGGATGTTGTTTTCCTCTCATTTTACGGTTACTATTTGTGATTTCAAGCAATTTGTGGATATTTTCATTTCAAATTAGGGTTTCAAAGATTGAGGATTTCAATCGATTTGTGATCTATTTAGGTTGGATGTTGTTCTCCTCTCATTCGTCTGGTCAGCTTTCAAATGTTCTACTGGATTTCTTGGTAGACTTATAATTAAGTCGTCTGGAAAGTCTTCCGGGTGGACGACCCAGACGACTTAATTTAAGTCTTCCAGGTGGACGACCCATACGACTTAGAATTAAAATGTTTCCAATTCGTTTCTTGTTTGCAGATGGCGAATCAGCATGAACCTCACTTCTTGAAGCCTCTGCTTCCTGTTTTCTACAGTGGCGTGGTATACACACGCTGTCTATTTCTCCTCTGTTTATTTCCTTTACTTATCTTCTCCTTTGTTGACTTGTAGACAATACCAGTTACCTTCTACTCAAACACACATAGAAGGCACGCCGAACCAAGGAAAATGGACACTACGATCGGACGCTTCACACCAAACTTGGGAAGTTATACAAGAAGGAAGAAGACTCACCGATGGTTGGGAAGCCTTCGCCCAAGCACACTCCCTTTGCATCGGTGACATTCTCGTGTTCAAAAATGAAGGAGACATGGTATTTCATGTGACTCCTTTCGGTCTTAGTTTTACTGAGATTCAGTATACACCTCCTCAAGGGGATGATGCTGCAGATGGTGCCTCAACTTCCTCGTCTCTTCCTAAATGATGGATGTTTGTCTTGCTATCGTCTTATTGTAATCTGCTTCTGGTGGACTTGTAATGGATGACTTCTATGTTGTTGTTCCCTTGTTTCAAATTGTTTTTAAACCTATGACTTGTAATGGATGATCAACTTTTATAACTACAACTCCTTTTGTCCTCTATGTACAAACCATGGTAACACCAATTTTAATTATTAGTCGTCTAAGAAGTCTAACACAAATTCTTAAAACATACTCAAAAAGCCTGGACGACTTAGTAGACGACTAATATTTTAAGTCGTCTGGAAAGTCATCCAACCGGAAGATTTGTCAAACGACTTAATTATTAGTCGTCTAACCCCGTAAGTATTCTATTCAGACGACTTTCAACTAAGTCGTCTGGACGACTTAGTTGAAAGTCGTCTGGTATAGTTATTCTTAAGCATAATTAAAAAAAATTGTAAAAAATATTTAGATAAGTGAAAAATTGAAACCATGTAATTAACACCAGTTTTAAGAGATATAAATTAAGATAGAACAAAATTTAATTATTTTTAACATAGATGAGTGAAAGTAGTGAGTGATGATATTCTTTGGTTTTGGGTTTGCTAACATATGTTGTAGTATTGTATGTGTTTCTTAGGGTCAGATTTTCGAAAGCATAAATGTTTTTTTGAAAAATTAAAAATTTACCTAAGTGTTTTTATTTCTATATATAGTAGACTCTATTTAAGTATAATTTGATTTTATAACGTGGTTAGTTAGTTAATTTAGTCAATTTAATTTAGGTTTTAGGGTTTAGGGTCTGGACGACTTATATCTAAGTCGTCTGGTAAATATATTTAATAAGGCAGACGACTTAGTCGGATGTATAGTATCAACAGACGACTTAATTATAAGTCGTCCAAACCGGATTTTACCGAATTACTTTTAATCCTAACCAGATTTTTTACTAGACATATATAAGAAGATTTTTTTTTTACTCACTTTTCGCGAAATTCAGAAAACCCTAACGCCGTTTCTCTCAAAGGTGATTTCGAGGTGATTTTGAGGCGATTTCGATCCGATACAAGACCAAGGTAAATCGAAGGCTTCTCTTGCCGATTTAATGGGTTTTTATTAGGATGGATGTTGTTTTCCTTTACTTTTACCGTTTGGTTTTGCATTTTCAATGATTTGGGGAAATTTTAGTTTCAAACTCGGGTTTCAAAAATTGGGGATTTCAATTGACTTGTTGTTTAGTTAGGTTGGATGTTGTTTTCCTCTCATTTTACGGTTACTATTTGTGATTTCAAGCAATTTGTGGATATTTTCATTTCAAATTAGGGTTTCAAAGATTGGGGATATTTTACGGTTACCGTCGTTCTCATCGCGCTTCTTTTTTCACGTCTATTTTTGCAGTTCTATAACCGCTATGTCGAAGGCGAGTACATCTTCTCCGAATTTTCAGGTCAGCTTTCAAATGTTCTACTGGAAGTCTTGGTAGACTTATAATTAAGTCGTCTGGAAAGTCTTCCAGGTGGAAGACTTTCCAGACGACTTAATATAAGTCTTTCGACTGGAAGACTTGACAGACGACTTAGTTATAAGTCGTCTGGAAAGTCTTCCAGACTTATAATTAAAATGTTATATTTGATGGTTGTGTGTTTGAGATGGTTTTCTTTGATTTTTTTTGCAGAATATTCCCGAACTCCCCCGTAGGATACATACACTAGGGCAAGAGCCTAGCGCTCAGCATAGCATTACGTATCATCCGTGTACGAAGTTGTATACTGCTCTAAGGAATGCTCTTAAGGATGAAGAATATGAAGAGCTGAAGGAGTCTAATTTGGGAGTTTTCATCAACTTCCAAGAGCTGGATTTTGAATGGGCTTCAAGGCTGGTTCACTACATACTCTGTTTCCAGCTCGACATAAAGAAGAAGTATGAGATCTAGAGTCTTGCTGGTCCACAACCTTTGAGGTTTTCACTGTTCGAGTTTGAATACCTCACTGGTCTAAACTGCGAGTACATTGAGGACCTTGAGAGACCAAACTGTCCTGTTACAAAGGAGTTGGTTCAATGTAGTACTTGAGGATCGAATCCACAGAGACAAAATTTTACACTTTATAATTATAGGATCAAAATTAAGCTAAAACAATATGGGGTTTTAAAATAAAGAAAACGTAAAAAGCAAGTAACATGTTGGTTTGGTTTCAGATTATAAAAGAGATAGGTTTAGGATGATTCATCGGGATACTTAGGATCATGAACTACACAACTATTCAGGAAAGCAATAAGAGCCAATCTAGAACAACAAGGTTAAATAAACCCACTGTCGTGGTGTCTATCAATTTATCAAGCAATCCTAATACCTAAACTATCGTTTGGATTAGACACTGATGACAAGCATTAAGGTCAAGTTCAATTGGTTCACGAATTGCCCTAACATCTACTCTCGTTGGCTAGGGACAAATCGCCTATCTATGCCTTTTCTAGCAACCTAAAACAC